CAGGCTTCTCTCTTCTTTAGGGAGAACGGGCATTAGCAGGTGGGCTGTCTTGATGTCCAGGGCCTTGAAGAGAAGCCTCAGCCTGAATGCAGACCCCTGAACAGCAGGAGACAGGACTGGGGGGAGGAACCTTCCTGGGACCTTCAGGCCTTGAGAGGTTGGGGCAGTGCCTAGCCTAGTAGGGAACCAAAGTTAGACTTGGAGAAAGAAGTGCGTGCCACGTGGTTGTGAAAGGACACACATACCCGTGAGATCCCCCCATGAGATGTCCCAGAAATGAAGACAGAGGCTTTTGGGGTGGCCGGGGAGTCCTACAATGGTAGACAGGGTCAGAGCTAGAGAACTACTTCATATAATTTTCCTGTGTGATGTCTTGTTTGGGGCCTGTCCTCGGCCAACAAGCAGCGCTCCCGCCCTCCTATTGAGTGAATGCCCAGAGGTGGAACGGCTTGAGGCCACCAATGACCAGAAGCAGCCACAGGTGGCCTCAGGGCTTGGAAAGCTCACTGAGTGAGCACCCGTGTTTGGCTTGGCTCACGAGAAGGGCATCCTCTCTGCTCAGTAAACCCCAGATTAAGGGCTGATCATCTAAGGTATGCGAGGCAAAGGTGGCAGGCAATCTTTCATTAGGTTTCCCGGGATAGAGCCATGCCTGGTTCACCTTTTTATTACCTTCTCACCTCTCATTGGTACCTAATATATGTTATCTGTAGACTCTGATTGAATCGGATGACAAGGCAGAACTCCTTCTTGGCCACACTCTACCACCCTCTCTCATCCCTCATCTTTATCCCTCCAGAGCGCCCCCAGGGGAACTCTAGTAGGTCCCACCTAATGGATCCAGAGTGAGAGGAAGCCCAGAGAAGTGAGGGATATAGTTTGCATGGAGGCAAAAACAGAAGGGATGGAGGGAGTGTGCTCAGTGAATGCCAGGAAATGGGGGAGGTGGCTGGTCACCTAATTACCAGCTAGGTTCCTGCTCCCTCTGTATCCCTGGCTGCACACGTCTGCCCTGTGAATGGCACCACAGGGTTAAAGTACCATAACTGAGGTCAGAAGGAGGAGGCAAAACATCCCATGAACACTGTCACCTCCAGGGCTGACACTGGGAAGTCTCCTGAGCTCTGCATCTGGACGTGATATTAGGAGGCCAGGGAGGGCGTGGCGGGTAGCAGGAAGGTGAGGGCTTGCGGTGTTTACCATCCTTGTTTGAGCACAAGAAGCTTCTGGAGGCTGGGCACTTTGAGGAGGTCTTCAGTGACCCAGAGGCAGCACTCAGTCTCCAGAATGCGGCGTGACACCTACATTTGGGGGTCTCTGTCCTCTTGGCAGAGCTGGCTTCCCACAGAGCCCTGTGCTCAGAAGGGCCCTGCACGTGGCTAATGCTCTGCTGCTGCCATCTTGAAATCCTTCGTTTTTCTTATTTAATCACTTTTCTGCTGTGGCAAAGTATATATGTCCCAGTGTTGTACGATAATTAGAAATAAAACACACCCACACACTTCATAAAATTTGTCATTTTAAAGTATACTATTGGGGGCTTCCGTGGTGGCGCAGTGGTTGAGAGTCCGCCTGCCGATGCAGGGGACACGGGTTTGTGCCCCGGTCCGGGAAGATCCCACATGCCGCGGTGAGCCATGGCTGCTGAGCCTGTGCGTCCGGAGCCTGTGCTCCGCAACGGGAGAGGACACAACAGTGAGAGGCCCGCGTACCGCAAAAAACAAAAACAAAAACAAAAACAATAAAGTATACTATTGGGACTTCCCTGGCAGTCCAGTGGTTAAGAATCCGCCTGCCAATGCAGGGGACATGGGTTCGAGTCCTGGTCTGGGAAGATCCTACATGCCGCGGAGCAGCTAAGCCCATGCGTCACAACTACTGAACCTGCACTCTAGAGCCCGCAAACCACAACTACTGAGCCCGTGTGCCACAACTACTGAAGCCCGCATGCCTAGAGCCCGTGAGCCACAACTACTGAACCCACGTGCCGCAACTACTGAAGCACATGCATTCTAGGGCCAGCATGCCATAACTACTGAGCCTGCGCGCTGCAACTACTGGAGCCTACGCGCCTAGAACCCATGCTCCGCAATAAGAGAAGTCACTGCGATGAGAAGCCCGCGCACTGCCACAAAGAGTAGCCCCGGCTCACTGCAACTAGAGAAAGCCCACGTGCAACAATGAAGACTGAGCACAGCCAAAACTAAATAAATAAAAATTTTAAAAGTATACTATTGAGTGATATTAATTACAGTCACAGTTTAGTACAACCATCACCACTATCTATTTCCAAAACTTTTTCCTTACTCCAAATAGAAAATCTAAACCCATTAAGCAATCACCCTCCCTTTCCCTCTCCCTTCAGCCCCTGATAACCTCTAAGGCATTTTCTGTCTCTATGAATGTGCCTATTCTGGGTATTTCATGTAAGTGGAATCATAGAATATTTATCCTTTTACGTTAAGATTATTTCTTGGGACTTCCCTGGTGGCGCAATGGTTAAGAATCCGCCTGCCAGTGCAGGGGACACGGGTTCGAGCCCTGGTCCGGGAAGATCCCACGTGCCACGGGGCAACTAAGACCGTGCGCCACAACTACTGAGCCTGCGCTCTAGAGCCCGCGAGTCACAACTACTGAGCCCACGTGCCACCACTGCTGAAGCCCACGTGCCTAGAGCCCGTGTGCTCCGCAACAAGAGAAGCCACCGCAGTGAGAAGTCTGTGCACCGCAATGAAGAGTGGCCCCCGCTCGCTGCATTTTCATTTTGCACTGGGCTCTGCAAGTTATGTTGCCGGTCCTGCCTTTCAGGGCTATTGTCAGATACTGAAGTCTAAGGCATACCTGAATCACCTCTCCCTTGGATGGTTTAGCATGTGTCACCCCTATTTAACCAGAAATTAGCCACCACACCTACCCTAGAGCCCACTTAGGTTTACTGTACTCCTGGGGGCAACCATGGTTTTTACTTCTCTGTATATGTCACAGTGCAGAAGGAGAGTGGTTTACTCAAGGTCACTGGCTCAAGGAAAGCATCCATGTCCGCAGAGCTTACTTACGTCTGCGTTCATGTGACCTGTACCACGCAGTCTTCACCGACATGACTGGATTCCGCTGTCTTTACCAATGTGATTTGACCATTGCGGAAACGCTTGCCCAGGAAGATAAAAGCTGCAAATAACTTTATTATTGTAGGAACTTCCCCCAAACCCACTTAAAACTGCTTAGCCTTTCAACAGATAACATCGAATGACTGTTAACACACCTCGCTGTGCCCAGAATCCTGAACTATTACATCAGGAGACTTAACACAGTCCTTATGATTCCCACACTGAAAGACCCACCTTCGACCAGCTGAATATCCTGACTTCACCGGCCTGACTCAGAGACACTGTCAAGACTGCCAAGCAGTGACCTCTCTTACTGCTGGGAGCTTTGCTTTATCAGCAGGCTGTCTTGGTGGTATTTTATGGGAGCCTGTTTTCAGGAAGCTACAATTTTACCTTCTGCACAGTGCAGTTTTTCCAACCCTATTTGATCCAATGTACATCCACCCATCCCTCTATTCATTGATTTATTCACTTATTCAACACATGTTTATTGAGTGCCTACTATACGTTAGGCACCCTTAGACACTAGCTCCATGATGACTGAGACAGTTGTGGCCCTTGTTTTCACAGAGCTCACCCTCTGCTTCATCCTTCTGTCATGTTCCTGCTGCTAGAGAAAGTGGAGATTAAGAGAGCCACTTTCAACTTGAATTTACTTAAAAATGGAGTTTTCTGCCGCAAACAAGTTGGATCTCTGCTCTCAAAATCTGGATCTCTGGACTTCATTGGGGAGGAGAAACTTTTCCCCTACTCTCTTATGTTCAGTACCTGAGGGCCTGCGAATTTAACCAGCAAAAGACAGATTAACAGGAGAAAAAGAAGATGAATTTGATTAATATTTTACATGCACAGAGTTCACAGAAAAAAAGTGAAACTCAAAGAGGTAGACTCAATTTGGGCATTTATAGCTCATCTTCAACAAAGGAAAGGAGGTTTAGGCTTCTAGAGACAATACATTGTGGAGAAGTGACTAGGAAATATAAGGAGGAAACTAATGGAAGATAATGGTTTTTGTTTGTTTTGTTTTTTAAAAATTTTTGGACATCCCAAGTGGCTTGTGGGATCTTAGTTCCCTGACCATAGATCGAACCCATGACCCCTGCAGTGGAAGCGTGGAGCCCTAACCACTGGACCGCCAGGGAATTCTTGTGGGTTATTTGAATAAGGTCTGTTTCTGCAGATTCATCTCAGTGACAACTCTGTCTTGGTGATAAGAGTCTTTCTCCTCTTTCTAGTACAGGAGAGGGGGAAGCCTTCACCAAGGGAATTTTATGCCCTGCTTTTAGGCAGAAAAGGGGAGGAAGAACTCATCCTGTGTCTTGTTCATTCTCACTTGCCTTCAGTTTAAAATAATCCTTACGCCACAGTGGCATATTTGGGGATGGCACATCCTGGTCCCTTCAACTTGATCTTTAGAAGGCCAGGCAGCAAGATGGTCTTAGGATGAGTTTGTCACTCCCAATGATTATCTACCTTGTCAGGCCTGTGTTTCCTTACCTCTAAGGTGAGCCTTGTGTCCTGGTGCCACCCTGTGCAGCCAGTGCAGGGACAGAGCCCAGGGCTGGGAAACCATAAGGTGGCCCGAGTCCCCCAGCACAGCCCTTTCAAACCCAGCTCCCAGTTGGTGAAATGACCCAGCGGCCCATCCCAGGGGAACCCCCAGAGGGATGTTTCCAGGATATGTGATCAGCCTGGTAAGGAAGGGGCCCTATTAGAAGGTATGACGGACCAAACCGGTTTGTAAAGCAGCTCCAGCCACTTGGGGGTGGGGAGTGGACTGTTATGTGTCTAGATGAACACAAATCCGGACGCTCAAACCGTTCTCTCGATGTTTGGTTTGCTTTTAACTTAAGATGGGCTTTCACTTTTCTTCCCTTTTTATCTTTTCTGCAGCCCGGTGCTCGAGATGCTCCAGCCCAGCCTGTTTATCTTGTGAGCTGCCGCAGCTCCGTCCCTGTGTGATTACATCTTTCCTTGGTAATGGGGTTTTGACTGGCCTTTTGTATAATGCTAAGCCACAATGGGACTGGAATATTCTCCCCTTATTTTTATCGGGCGCTTTTATTTCCTGAGCTGTTTTGTTAAGTGTGCCTGTTTCTGGTTTTGCTCCTGGTCAGGAAAGGGGCCCAGGATTCAGGGAGAAGATCAGATGCCCTGGTGTGTGAACTGGTCTTTCAAAGAACGAAGCAGGAGTTGATCACCTGCTGAAGCTCAGGGCCAATGCGGAGCTACCTCCCAAGAGGCCAATCAATTTCAATTAAGGAGATTAAAAGCCCCGAGCGCAGGGAGGGCTGGTCACGGGCTTCTGAATGCCTTGCTTCTCCAGCAGCCTGAGAGCAGGCCATGGGCCCCAGAAGCGCTGGACAGTGTCCTCTGGGCCAATGTCAAGACGGCAGTGAGGGGTCAAATGCAAAAGGAGAAGCTGGCTGAAGGGGCTCGTGATTCTTCAGGGGCCCTAGTGGCATTTGGGGCAGGACGGACCTGTCAGTGTCCTCAGCCCCATCAAGTATCCAGTGTCCCTAGTCACTGAGCTGTCCCAACCCAACCCAGCCCAGTCCCCACCCCCGCTTCCTGGTGGGACCACCCTGGGCTCCCGGCAGCTGCCTCTGATCTGCTGTGTAGGTGAAGGGCAGGCCTTCTGCAGCTTCCGGGTGGAGAGCTGGTTCTCCTCGTCTGGACCCTCCTTCTCCACTGGGCATCCCAGAGGCTCTGTGTCTGCTACCTTTCCGAGCTGCTCGGGCATCCTAGAGGCCACACCCCCGAGGGGTAAGGGCAGAGACCAGAGTGGGACGTCTGGTGGAGGAGGGGGGCTTTGGCATCACACAGACCCAGGGCTGAGCCCGCCTCTGCCCCTTACTGGCTCTGCATTGGCCCTGAGTCAGCACGTGACCAGCCTGTGCTTGTTTTTTTTTTTAAAACCCGTGGACACCCCAGGGCATCCAATCTGTTTCCAGGCATCCAAGTGAGCCTCACTTTCCATGTTTATAAAAGGGAGCTCTCCACCCCGGTCTCACAGGGTTTGCCGGGCTCACAGGAAGAACGGTATGTACCTAAAGTGTCTGATGACCCCAAGCCCCCTCTGATTGTGGTGGCCCAGGGTAGACAGGGGACCGGAGGCAAAAACTACACTCAGCTCCCCAGACCTGGAGATTTTTGTTCAGAAGCCAATAAATCAACAGCATCGTGAGGATTCGATGCCTGTGCTTTGTGCGCTGTAAGTGCTAGGTAGGTGTCGAAGGACGGGGGCGGGAGAACTGGGGCCGTGGGAAGAGAGTGTGCAGGATGCAGGGGAGGAAGGAGGAAGGAGCCTCCAGGAGGGGGAGCGGCCTGAGGCTGATGGAAACCACGGTGTCTGTTAGGCAGGAAAGAGAAGCCAGGTCCAGCTTCGTGGGCAGCAGCAACTACAAAGACAAGCACAGACTTTGCTGGGAAGTCCAGGAGGCTGAAGCCGCTGTCCCCCCAGCCCTCAGGGGTGAGGTTCCCTCGAAGGACTGGCTGTTCGTCGCGGGGGAGGGTCTCTTCCTTCTCTCGTTGCTTACCCTTCTGGCTACTTTCCTATTAACAAGACAGCCTGGGGAATGAAGCGGGCAGGGAGGGAGGCTCATTTCAGGCCATTTGGCTTCTTGTTTAATCTAAAGGACAGGATGGCCGCTGTAGAAAGTGACCTTATCAAGAAGGATGGGGTCACAGAGCTCCAAACCCTTGTGGGGAGCCAGGTACAGGGCGGGTCACAGACTTACCCAAGGTCACCCTCGTTAACAGCAGGGCCAGTCTCCTGCTGTCCTGCTACACCCCCCAGCCTCCCGGGCCTGCTTTCATCCCTGACCTACTTCTCCCAGGATAATTGAGAAATGAGTGATGGGAGCTGCAGGCTTCTGCTTGCTGTCGAGAGCTGGGTGGCTGTTCATAAACTTTTAAAGCATCTGGACCTTTCTCTAAAACAACAACAAAATCAGTCTCAGGCATGTTGCGTTATATAAAAATGGTCTTATTCTTGATACAAATTTATTTCACAAATGCAGAAAAGTGGAACGTACCATTTATACTGAAGAGGAGGAAATGATTGCTATAAGGAGATTTAAGGTTGCTAAGAATGGGGTAGGAGAGTTTCCAAAAGGAATCCCACCTCGAGGTGGGACTGGCTTTGTGGGAGGGATGGGATTATGACCCCCAGCCCTTCCTTCCTGAGATGGAGACCGAGGGATGGCACGAGGGCAGGTTGTGGCCCCCAAGTTAGGCAGTAGGAAGGGGATGGCGTGTGATGTGTCCTAGGGCCTGCCTTCAAACCCAGCATCTTGTAGGGACAGGTTTGTGTCCTGGGGAACTGGCTTTGTCATGTCATGTCATGGGAACCCTGCCAATTTTGTTAAGGACCCGAGGGAGGAAATGCTGCCAGTAAAGGAAGCACCAGACGGCAGGAGGCTCAGCCTCAGCAACAGGGCCTTGGGTTGTCAGTAGCAGAGCCAGAGTCTTTGTCCGTTCGGGTTGCTATAGCAAAATACCACAGACTGGGGGGCTTAAACAACACACATTTATTTCTCACACTTATGGAGGCTGGAAGTCTGAGATCAAGGTGCCAGCAGACTTGGTTCCTGGTAAGGCCTCTCCTCCTGGCTTGCAGACGGCCACCTTCTCGCTGTATCCTCACAGGGCGGAGAGAGAACACTCTGGTGTCTCTTCCTCTTAAAAGGGCACCAATTCCATCATGGGGGCCTCACCCTCATGACCTCATCTAAACCTAATTTCCGCCCAGAGGCCCCACCCCCTTATACCATCATACTGGGGGTCAGGGCTTCAACATGTGGATTTTGGGGGGGACACAGACATTCAGCCCATAACACCTGGGCTCCATGCCTCCCCATCATCTCTTTGTCTCCCTATTCATTTATGCTGGCCTCTGGGCAGTGCTTCTCAAGGTGTCCATGGTAAGGAACCAGTTTTTTTTTTTTTTTCTTTTGGCCGCCCCCCTCAGTTTTCAGAATCCTACTTCCCCGACCAGGGATTGAACCCAGGGCCATGGCAGTGAAAGTGCCGAGTCCTAACCACTGGACCGCCAGGGAAGTCCCAAGGACCAGTTTCGTTATTTGCAATGAAGTATGATGTGTGCTGAAAAAAATGAGATGATTGTATGAAATACAAGCTCATTTTTTTTTTATGATTGGGTTCCATGCCCTAGCATTGCTGTTGAATTGGCATGAATGCCCCTGAATGTTCCTGCTTGCTTTCTGTCTCCATCTCATTCTGGAGCAGGGACCGAACCTTTGAGGGCCTCCTGCTGCAGACCACCCTTTCAGTGGCGCTGTTTAGAGCTCCATAGGAAGTACGCCATCAGCCATGGAGAGGTGTTATCTGAAGCTTCCAGAGACAAAATGTCATGAGCCCCAGCTCAGCAAGGTCCTCACTGGGCCTTTTCACCTTTGTTATCTTGGGATGTGTGGGGTCTGTAAGGAGGATGGTAATCTGGTTGCCTCTCTCTCAATGGCATTCTGAGGTAGCAGAAGCACAGGCCTGAGTCAGAGAGCGGAAGGCAAATCTACCTCCCCCACTTGTGAGCTGTGTGAATTTGGGGTGAGCGATTAACTGGTATGTCCCTCAGTTTCTCCATCTAGCAAATGGAGGTGATGGTAGCTTCCCCTCAGGGAGCTTCCCCTCAGGGAGGTGAAGATTAAGTGAGACGTGCCTGAACTAGGCACGGTGCCCCATCCCTCTCTCTTCCTTCTTCCTCTGAAGAAGGGTCCCAGTGGAGAGGTAGGACTCTGCCCCAGGGGGAGAGAGGCGTGCGCTTGACAAGAGCAAAGGGTCGTCTTTCACAAAAATCACAGGATGTCCGAAAAGAGGGTCTGAGTCAGCACAACTTCTGGGAATCCAGACAGGAATGAAGATTTCCCTGGAGAAAATTTCCCCAGCAAGCGCACTGGAGCAAGAAAGGTCGGATGTCAGCTCAACCTCAGACCGGTTGACCAGATAGCTCAAATTTCAAATCCTGCATTCAGATTTTCTGCGGGGATGATGCTCTGACCAGAGAGGAGACTGACCTCCATGGTATCTAAGATAAATACGATGCATGTGAGCACCAAACAGCTGGTATGTCTGTGGTTTCTGGGTTTCGCTCAGTAAGCCTCAAAAGCACGATCTTGGGGCATTGAGATGAATGTCAGGAGACCCGGGGCCTGACACTCGTCATCAGAGTGGCAGCAGAGGGCCCTGTATTCGTTGGCTCAGGCTGCTGTAACAAAGTCCTGCGGACTAGGCCGCTTAAACAACAGAAATTTCTTGTCTCACATCTGGTGGCTAGAAATCTGAGGTCAAGGTGTGGGCAGAGTTGTTTCCTTCTGAGGGCTGTGACAGAAGGGTCTGTTCCAGGCTTCTCTCCTTGGCCTGTGGTTGGCTGTCTTCCCCCTGTGTCTTCACGTTGTCTTCCCGCTGTACGTGTCTTGTGTCCCAATTTCTCCTTCTTATAAGGACACCAGTCATATTGGATTAGGGCCCACCCTAATCATGTCACTTTAAATTAATTACCTCTTTAAAGGCCCTATCTCCACATACAGTCACATTCTGAGGTCCTGGGGGTGTATGGATTCAACATATGAATTCTGGGGCCAATTCGGCCCGTTAGAGCCCTTTAACCAACTGGTCTCAATTTCACCAGCAGAGAGATAATGGGTGAGCCTGTGGTTTTCCAGATTTCTCCTGATTTTAAGCAGATTAAGGTTCAGCCCAGAATTGTGCACCAACCTGTCAAACGCAGCTGAATGTGTGACTTAGGCCATGTCATCTTTCCAGGTTAAAATTTATTTATAAAGCACAGATAATGAAAATAACATCTATTTATCTCCCTAGGTGTTCTGAGCCTTACGTTACAGATGCAGGGATGATGCGTTACAAAACCAAACAAATCAGCCCTTAGGACAGGCGACTCAGGCAAATCAACCATCACCGCCACAACAAAAGAAGCTTTCAAACCCACAAGAGAAGACAAGATTGTAATGCCTTCCTAACAACATTGCTTTATTGACGCAAGGCAAGGAAAACTACATTAAATTCTATCGATTCTCTTTGAGATCTAATAATATGCTTTATTCAGATCTTATTCACATCCCTCTTCTTCCATGGGTCTATCTCAGGAGCTGACATTGGCCAGTTACAAAACAGAATTGGTTCTGCTGTCATTGGAAGTCACAGAGGCGAACGTGTTTTCGAACACAAAATCTACCATGCTTTCTTTGGGAAATAAGGCACAGCTGGAAAAAAAAAAATCTCACTTCAAAACAAAATTGAAAGCATGGCTAACTTGAGATTTATTTGATTAGTCTTTCTCTGGGCTGACCAGTTTTAGAACCCATTCCTATTGGCACCAATGAGCCAATAAAATATCCAGCAGGAGAGAAGAAGTATCACATCAACTCAGAGAAACAAAGTTGTTCATTTTTTTTTTTTTTTTTTTCTGGCCGCCCGGGCCCCTCCAGAGCCGGCAGCCTCAGTGAGACCGCCCTCCCCTCGGCCTCCGGGGCACTTTCGTGGCGGCGGAGGGAAGAGACCCCGAGCTGCGGGAGTTCCAGCTCTGCGGAAACGCGGGCTCCGTTCTGGGCGCAGGGGGTGGGACCCACTTGTTCATTTTTTTAAAAAGCATTGAATTAATGTTTACACTGCTGAGTCAAGTTATTTATACATATGCTATAGGTTTTGCATCTCCAGAATATGTTTGCATTAAGAGTATGATAAATTGTACCTGACTTACTTGTGAAAAATCATCTTGAGAAAGGTTTCTTTTCCCCTGGGAAAATATGGAAATGACACATGGTGTGTACAGCCAGAAACACTCAGCAGAAGGAGAGGCGGGTTTTTAGCTGTCACAATGGATGGTTAAGAATTTCGGATTTGGGTCAGTGTCATTACGCTCAAGTCACTTCACCTCGAAACCTCATTCTTCATCTCCAGAATAGGTTCCAAACTCAGTGTTTTCTGTAAATATTCAGTAGGATAATACATGCACAGAGTTCGACATTAACCCTCCCAGAGGCCAATAAGAATTCAATAAATGCCAACTTCTCTATCATATTCTTACAGAAGAATGCTTGCCTGCTTTACCTTTCGTCTGTGAAAAAATCACAAAAAGGATTAAGTTCGTTGAAAAGAAAGGTGGGTCTTGGGCCCCCTTAGCACATGTTTTCTCCATCCTTTCTAAAAAGTGATGCTAACAAACGAACAGGTGTTATAGGGAGAAGGTGGAGTAACCAGAACATTCCTACGTTGCTGGTGGGAATGTAAAAGAGTGTAGACCTTTTGGAAAACTCTTTGGTGGCGCCTCAAAAGTTAAACAGATATGGCCCAGCAGTTCCACTCCTAGGTATATACTCAGGAGAATTGAAAACATGCATTCATACAAAAACTGGTTCTTGAATGTTCACCGCAGGATTATTTGCCGTAGTGGAAAGGTGGAAAGACACAGCTCAAGTGTCTAGCAACTAATGAATGGATAAACAACATATGGGACAGCCGTGCCAGGGAATTTTATTTGGCAACAAGGTACAGTGAGGTATGGACACAAGCTACAACATGGATAAACCCTGAAAACATGATGCTGATGGAAAGAAACCAGTCACAAAAGGCTACATACAGCATGATTTCATTCATACAGAACATGCAGAATAAACAGCTCTATAGAGACAGGAAGTAATTCGTGGTTGCCTAGGGCTGGGAGGGAGGGCAGGAATGGGGGGCGACCGCTAATGGACACAGGGTTTGTTTTTGGAAGGATGAAAATTTTCTGCAATTAGAGAATGACGATGGTCATACAACTTTGTGAGTATTCTCAGGACACTGAACTGTACCTTCTAAAATGGTGAATTTTATGCTTTATGAATTGTATCTGGAAAAAAATCAATGAATGCTTAATGTGGAAAATAAGAAAACAAGGAAACAAAAATTGTCATTCTAGCATCCAGAGATAACCACTGCAAATGCTTTGATGTAGATCCTTCCAGACTGATGCAAATATATACATTTAAAAAATAAAATAAAATGGGATCATACCAAACATACTGTTGAGTGAAAGGTGTTTTTTTTTTTTTTTTTTTTTGTATTACTGTTACTTTTCCCCTCGATATTAAGAAATTGCCTCTCTAAACATAGGCGGCATCCACCTCGGAGTCTTCTCAAATGTCTTGCCTTTCCACTTTCCTCGGCCAAGCCGTGCTTCTTCACTTTCCAAGGCTCTTCTTAGGACTTTTCAAGTGAATCTATTCGCCTTGGATCACCAGAGTGCTTTCAGTTGCTTGCTGTCACAGCTTGACCTGTTACAAGCTATTTCATTCATATCCGTGATTTCAGTGGAATTGTTCCCTAAACCCATATTTCTACCTTGACCTCTATTCCATACACTAGTCCTGTATCTCCAAATGCCTACTGGAAATTCCCACTTGAACATTCATCACTGACATTATCATAAGACTCAACTCGAACTCATTATATGTTTCAATGCCCCAGCCAGGCACAGCGGAAGATTTGAGTTTTGAAGTGGACGTTCATGCCCACACTTGACCTTTCTCATTCAAGTCAAGCTTTTTAGAAGCCGTGGAAACCTACTCTGGCTAACTTAGAAAAGGTAGGTATGGAGGGAGATGGGGTAGCTCACACAATAGGCAGGGGGGGAGGCCGGGGAACCAGATTTGGAAAAAGGGCAGGAAAATGGCATTCCAGGGGCTGCACGGCAGTGACCACAGCCAGGTCGGCCCCCGAGCGAGGTCTGGGCCGGTGCCTGCTGCTGGTACAGGCATCCCCGCCGCTGCTGCCAGGCGTGCTAATGGTCCCGCGTCACTCTAGCAATTGCTCAGGGTGAAGGGAGCAGTCAGATACGGGACAGTGTAAAGAAAAGCAAGCGCCTATCCACTTAGCCTTGGTTTCCTTAAACCAAGAAAAGTGGAGATCATTTTCCTAACCACCTCATGGGGTTGTAAGAAGGTCAGCTGGTATTTTGGAAGATACTTTGTAAACCACGAGCCCCTCCACAAGTGTGGGTTGTTTCTACTAAGAAGTGAGGTTTTCCTTCCAATCTCTGTTCTGTTCCTGACGGTGTACCTCTCTTCCCCCTCAGGGTTTCCATATCCCCTCATGGCCCCCATATCCCCTCACTGCCTCCTGTTGGCTGAAAAAAATGCACAACATGAGAATTGTGAGTTAAGTTTTATTTGGGGCAAAATGAGAACTATAGCCCGGGAGACGGCATTTCAGATAGCTCTGAGAAACTGCTCCAAAGAGCTAGGAGGGGAAGGTCAGTATATATGTGATTTTGGTAAAGGGGGAGTACATGCAATCAAGCACATATTTTTTTGTAGAAGGTTTCTGCTAGTCTCGTGAAGGTTACTGCTAGTCATGAGGTGCAGACGTCACCATGAAGGATTTTAGTGCTTTTCTAGATATGAGGAGATGCAGGAATTGGGCTCAGAAAATCTTCACCTGAAAATACCTATCTGAAGATCTGTTCTGCCAGTTTTCTCCAGAGCACAGAGTGCCTCATTTCTGATCTTCACCCTGAGCTCCCTTCAGGGGGTGTTGAAGGTCAGCAGCTGCAGAGGCTCGTAATTGAATCCTTGTAGAGGTAGATGGCAAGTGCCAATTTGTAGGTGACATTCCAGATCCCCTCAGGGGCCCCACATCTAAGCCATGCTTATTATTCCTTCTTCCTCCCACCTGTCCCTTCCCATCATCATTGGCCCATAGCATTCAGCTGCAACAATGGACACGCTCATTCCCAAGCTTGATGATACATTGGACTCACCTGGGGCAGTATTTCTGCTTCAGAGGAGCTGTGAGATCTCCGAAGCCATATTCCCAACAAGCTACTGAGGAGATCACAGCAGGAACAGACCCACCAACCCACCAACTGAAATCTACAAACTGAGTTTGTTACATGGAGCATTAGTCCTCTGAAAAAGGGTTCTATATTGAAATGTTTGTAAAACGCAGCCTCCAGAGATTCACAATTGAAGAGGTCCTGCAGGTGAGATACCTGTGAAACTGTCCAATCCAGAATGTCTGAGACCTATGAGCTTGTGAGAGCTTCAGAGGTGTCTCTTGTTATGCTAATGAGGTGACTTTTGGAAGCACCTGAGGATGGGGGCGGGGGCCGGTTGCCACGGAGCCAACCCTGTGATTGGAGGGTTGCACCTTTGAGTCCCACCCCCGCACCCAGTGGAGAGGGGCTGATGGCCAATGATGTAATCACTTATGCCTACGTAAGGAAGCCTCCGTAAAAAATCAAAAGGATGGGGTTTCTGAGAGCTTCTGGGTTGGTGAACACATGGAGCTGCTGCAACAGTGGTGCCTGGAGAGGACATGGAACCTCCCAGCCCCTTCCCACTGCCCTGCCCTGTGCATCTCTTCCGTCTGGCTGTTCCTGAGTTACAGCCTCTCGTAATAAACGGGTGATCCGGTAAGTAAAATGTTTCTCTGAGTTCTGTGAGCTGCTCTAGCAAAGTACTCGAACCTGAGAAGGTTGTAGCAACCTCTGATTTATAGCCAGTTGGTCAGAAGCATAGATGGCAACCTGGACTCGTGCCTGGAGTCTGAGTGGTAGTCACCTAGGACTGAGCCCCTCGCCTGTGGGATCTGATGCTGTCTGGGTAGGCACTGTGGGAACGGAGCTGAATTATAGGACACCCAGCTGGTGTCCCGAGAATCGCTTGTTGGTGTGGGATCCCCTCCCCACATTGGATTTGGTACTAGAACTCATTCAGTCCCATAAAATCTGTTAAAACTCTACCAAGAGAATATTCTGAGAAATATACTAACACTTTGGGGAAGCCCTGGCCTATGGAATCAATTTGGAATTCCTTACTCTGGTTTCCAAGATTTTTGACCACCTGGCTGCAAGCTTCATTTCCTCCCATGCCTCTATATATACAGTCAGCCAGGGGATTGGTTCCAGGACCCCCGCGGATACCCAACTCCTCAGATGCTCAAGTCCCCTATATAAAATGGCCTAGTATTTGCATATAACTCATCTAATACAATTAATACCTAATGCTATGTAAATAGTTGCCAGGCATGGGGCAAATTCAAGCTTTGCTTTTTGGAACTTTCTGGAATTTTTTTTTCCCCGAATATTTTCTACTGGTGGTTAGAGGAACTGCGTATCCAGAGCCCCTGGAGCTTGTCCTGCCTCTGCAGTCGTGCTGGGTTGATGTCCTGCCTCCTCAACTACCCCCTAAAAGCAGTAACCATGTGCGAGGTACTTTTAGTCCCCTTTCCTGGTGCAGGGCCCTCTGAGGTAGGGGCCTGGTAGATAGCTGTCGGTTTGCTGAGTGTCTTGAGATTTGTGGGTTTGGTTTCTTCTCAGCTGGTGCTTCCCCACCTCCTGGACATCCTGTTTGCGCGGCTCGGGGTCACCCTGGAGGGCGGAGTGCCGGTCAGGGCTGCTGAGTGGCTAACATGACTGTCTAGGGCAACCATGGAAGGGACGGAGGGGAGGTCCGGGGGGAGAAACACAGCCGCCGAGAGGGTCTTGGGAGGGAGTGACCGGCTGAGTATGTGGCCCAAGGAGGTGAGAGTTCTGGAGTTAGTCCCTGCCCTCTAGGGGCCTCAGTCCAGCAGCCAAAAAAGAGGGGGGCTGGGTCTGAACTTTTCCCTACGTTTGCCCCGCCTCCACCAGTCACTGGGGAACTGGCACTTCCGGTTGCTTCTGAAATGCCTTCCCGTTCTCTCCAAAGAGAATGCAAGGGGCAGTGATGCTATCACAGGGAAACCTTTGAATCTGCTTTGACGCATTAAGGGAGCGAATTCACATTGTTATCCGTAGTCACAAGTTACTGGTCATCCATATCGTGCTCTGAGGTTGGGGCCTTGCCATACTGCCTCCTAAGACTGTGGCTTCCAAACTTTCGTGTGCGTCTGGTTGGCCTGTAGGCCGTGTTCAAAGGCACCGGGCCTCACCCAGGAGCTGCTAGGTCAGCAGGTCCGGGGCGGGGCTGGAGGTTTTGCATCTCTAACAAGTTCCCAGGTGATGCTGATGCTGCCGGTCTGGGGAATCACACTCTGAGAACAATTGATTTGGGGCATCACGCCCTTCCGGCTTCCCCAGCCCTGCCACCTGCAGCAAATGTCTCCCCACCGAAGTGAGGGGCTTTCAGTGGCTTTCATTATGCTGGGGATAGTCTGACCTCCATTTCAGTCTGTCTCCTCTAATTCTTTTGGTGGACGGATGGACAGTGGAGAGGGGGAGGAAATTAGGGATAAAAAGGTAGCCGAGCTTAGTAAATGGTAGAGCCAGTATTTAAACTGTGGTCATTCTGATTACAAAACTCCCTCTGTTGACCACTTTGCTATGTGCTTTTGGAAACCTTTTAACAAAGAACCTGTTGTCAGGTTAAGACACTAGCTACTTCCCCGGCTCTTTCTGACAGTGTGTTGGAGATATTTCAAACGAGATGATTCAATTAAAACACTTAAAGCAAGGCCTGACATAGAACAAACATCCAAGACATGTACACAGACGTACATCCTGTAGCACAGAGATTAGAAGCATAGGCTCTAGGTCAGAATGTCTGAGTTTGAATCCTGGCTCTGCCACTTATTAGCTCTTTGGGCAAGTTAGTTAAGCTCTCTGTAACCCAGTCTCCGCATCTGTAAAATGGGGAGGATAATAGTAGTACTTCCAGGCTTAGAACGGAGATCCACTGAATTCTTATCTTTAAAATACTTAGGACAGTGTTATCATTTCTGATTCAATGCTTTTGTGCAAACTAAAGTATAAAGGGCGTGGTAAAGTCAACTCAGATAGGCCTGGACTTTCAACGGGGTTATTCTGAACACTTTACTGAATGTCTAGATGAATGCGAGCTGGAGTCACACTCCCTGGACTCAAGTCTTGGCTAAAAACGACTCCTTAGTGAGCTGGAAAAAACAGCCTCACATTTTTCATCAGTTCAGTTGGGATAACCTCAGTAGTTCCTTCACAGGATGGCTTTGTGGACTATACGAGTTAAACTGGACTTTAAAGCATTAGAACAGTGCCTGGCCTGTACTACGTGTCCAA